CTCTTCCCCCCTCCTGCTGCTGACAGCGGTCCAACGGCAGCGGAGCAGCGAGGATGCGTCGCTGCCTGCTCCTGCCTGTCCCTCCGGATGGGATGATCCTGCCGCCCGCCCCTCTGGGTGCACTCAGCGTGATGCCTCGGGCCACAGCACCATGCTGGGGGTGCCGGGAGGAAGGCAGGACCCTCCTCCTCCTCCCCGGCACGGCAGCCCACACCACCCGGACATGGTCACGGGGACACGGGGGGTGCAAAGAGCAGCCACCAGCCTCCTGGACGGCCGGGGACAGGGGCTGCCCCGCATGGGGACGTCTCCCCCAGCACCTCGGGGCTGAGCACGGGGGACACAGGACCGGTGCAGGCAGCACCATGAGCACCAAGGGCTCTGGCAGGGCTGGCCCCATCCCCAGCCGCGGTGGGGACCCGGTGACAGGAGCCTGGGGCTTCGGCAAGGTGTGCCTCGGCTCCTGTCTGCGAGTGTGCAAGGGTGAATGCAAACAGATTTGGGGAGAAAAAGGGTGGTTTCGAGCAACAGCCAAGCATGGCAGGGTGGGAGAGAGCAAACCCCATTCCACTGCACCGCAGAGCAACGGTGGCTGGAGGAAAACCAGCGCCAGTAACCCCCAGGGTGGCCGGCAGCGCTCAGATTGGGACCCTGCCGAGGTGCAGCCCGGCACGGGGCCAGGACCCTCCCAGAAACAACTGGGTTTCCATTTCAGGGACCGGAGCTCTCTCCACAAGTCCCAGCAACATCCTCGCAGCCACTTTTGACTATGACAAGTGACAGACTTCCCATCAGAAAAGTCTCGCAAGCTGCTATTTTTTTCCTTTTCTTTTTTTTTTTTTTTAAATATATAAACAGGGCTCTGAAATGGAAAGATGCAATTTGGCATGGAAATAGTCCTCAATGAGCAGCAGCGAGCAGCCTCGCGATGAAGGAAATTGATTTTATTTGACCATTTTATGAGCATTTGAAAATTGCATCCTGAGCATGTGCTTGAGTAGTTAAATGCACATTATATTCTTCATTCCCCTGAATTGCTCTAAACCAGCCTGGAAAAATATGCCGGGGAAACAAAGGGAAATATAAAGCGAGGCAGGTACACAGCATTCCTGGGAAATGGGTGCAGCTGAAAGCAAGACCGCAACCCCTCGGAGGGGCCAGCTCAAAGGGCGCTCCAGCGTTGGGTGCACCCCGCAATTCCCCGCAGAGAGTTCCCGGGTCACCCATAAGGACGCACGCGGCACCACCGGCATGGGCAGTTATGGCTCCCGGCCCCTCAGCCTGTGCCGGGGACGAGCGAGGACTTCGCCACCGGCCTCGTCCCCTCCGTACCTTCTTCCCGATGAGCTTCTTGCGCAGGAACTCCCGGGCCTCGAACATGTAGGGAATGTCGTAGAGGGGCCTCAGCTTCCTGTTCTTGTCCTGCAGCGGGGGCAGAGAGAGGCACAGGTCAGGGGAGCCCCCCAAAACCACCCTGTGATGAGCATCCCTGTGGGGAGGCAGCCCGCTCCCCGCTCCAGAGCAGACACCCCAAAGCTGGCGCACCCAGAACCCCCCAGCCCGCTCCCGTGGATGCCCTCCCGCTCCTGCACCCCAGGGTGGGCTCCCCGAGCATCGCCACAGCTCTGGCTCTGCCGAAACCCCGCGGGGGAGCCCCCGGCCGG